TTCTTTAGATTCATATTCACAGTATGTGAGATAATATGCTTTATATTGTAGTTATTCACTTTTATGAAATCTGTTTGATACAGCTTTCATTCAAATTCTGTATTAAATATTGTAATTCTTGCAGATCTGCTGTCTGTTTGATCACTTGTCATAATCTATCTCAATATGCTTGTAAAAGATAGATTACAAGAATAACTAATAAGTAATGTGAAATACATACAAGATTATTATTATTATTATTATTATTTAATTATAAATGTATGCAGTCAGTGACTATAACATCTATCTGAAATGCTTCAAGATTTTTCAAATCAAGAATAATGTAATATACAAAAGCAATTTAAAACATATATTATCAGAATTTCAACTCAGAATCAAATAACTATTCAAATTGTTTAATCAAAGAAATCAAAATCAAAAGAATGTCAACAAGTCAACACAACTCAGTTTGAAAACAAAAGAAATAAACATTGTAAAAGACAGCTTTATTAAAATAAGGAAAAGAAAAACCACTGACAATAACTATAATATCAATAAAAAACAAGTCAAACTTTTCAAAAACAAATTAAAACTAATCATACACAAACTTAAAAGAGACATCAAAGTAAAATGAAAATAAAGAATAAAGGAAAGATAAAAATAAATCCAATAGAAAAATCTGATCTCAATATTTTTAACAGATTATTTATTCAAACTTAAGTACACATAAAAATTATAAAAAGATAACAATCTCTATTATTCAAAGTTAATTGCTAATCTTCTAAAATCTATGAATATTAACATGTTTTTTATAAAAAGCAAGAGATGTGATAATTCACATTTTATTAATGATGTCTGATATTATATGTGTTCTCATTAATTTCAGTGTGTTCTATAACCTTTTATTATCATATTGTTATTTTCTAATATAGATATCTCTACTGTGTTTATTATAATTATATTCCTTCTTCAAAGACCTGGTTCTCAAAACTTCTTATCATAATATATAAGGTTCATGATTTATACTGCATGATTAATATTGTTGATTCAGATTAAATTAATTGTTAACATTGATGTTGAAGTATTGTTGTTTCAGAGAAATGTTTTTTCAACTCTGATATTGTTATAATTTAATTATGATTTAACTACATCCTCTGAATTTCTTTTCTTTAATCTTTACATTAAAAATCATATTCTAATAAGATCATCATCAACATCATCAAAAATGATTTTTTTATTAGAAATGAATATATCAATCTATCAAACAATGGTACATAATATCTTTCTATATAATTTTTATTGTGAAATTTGAAGTTTTAATTGTGTGATTGCATTTTTCATTCTATTTTTTATTTTTATTATTCTTTCATTATAGATGTATGCAGTCAGTGACTATAACATCTACCTGAAATACTCCAGGATTTTTCAACTTAAGAATAAGCTAATTGTAATGTGACGGCGCCGAGGCGATTGCTACTCGGCAGCGGCACAGAGGAGGATGGTATATAATGGGAAGCCTTATAGGTGGGCTTGATTATCTCGTTTGAACCGCGAACTCGTAGAATACTATACAAATACTGAACTACCAGAGGTACTCGGCACACTAAGAATGTTGTATGAGGACAGTGGTAACTCTGGTATCTTATTGTCAAAAGATAAAAGACGAATCGCTGGCTCCTGGAATAGAGAGCCAGCATCTAGCTATTCTATATAGACAACGGGCAGCCATCCTCCCCTCACTCTATGAGCGAGGGTAGCCGAAGCAACTCCGCAGTGGCGCTGCATTGATCTGCCAGAAGGAATCCACTGACCCCGTATAGAAACAGGATTCTCATATCTCATCAATCGGATCCTCTTCTATTGCATCCGAATGATGTCATAGGGTGGTTGGAAACCGGTTCGGACACCTGCGTGACGTCATGGGATAGATGGGATTATCCGAGGGGAAACGATGGGCCGTGTGGAGCCGTCACAGGGCCTTGGCACAACCAAGGGTGTGACACTAATATACAAAGTCAATTTAATACATGCAATAGCAGAATTCCAGCCCGGAATCAAATAACTATTCAAACTATTCAATTTAAAAAAAAATGTCAAAAGAATGACAACAGATCAATACATTCAATTTAAAACAAATGAAATAAAGAGTATAAAAAACAGCAGCTATTAAAAGAAAAGAAAGCATTCACAAATCAAACTTTTCAAAACAAGTCAAAATCAAAAGTAATCAAAATGAAATAAATTTCAAAGTAAAAGTAATAAAATAAAAATAAAAACAAGTACAAAAATTAAAGCAAATACCTAGCTTATGGTAAAAAAAAAAAAAAAATTTGAATTCATTATCAG